AAAAAAAAAAAAACTAAACTAAACCGGCCAGCAGCAGAGAGCTGCCACTACAAACCACAGGGATGCCCACTCTTCTCCCTCTAGGCAGCCTCCAAAAATCCCCACTACAGGCTGCACACCTGCCCATCAGAGGAGGGGGAAGCCACAAATACAAATACCCCTGGACCAGCATGTCCAGCCCTGCACACCCAGCTCAGCAGAGGGGGCCCCAGATGTCCATGGGGGACTGAACTGAATTGTTCTGTGCCTTCTCCTGACCACGGCCCTAAGGGTTGGGGGAAGGGGACAGGATATCAGCCCCTGGCACCAGGTGACACCCACCCTTGGCTCCATCCCCAAAGTTCTCCTGCAGAGTCCTGCTGGGTTCTGTGGGTCCCAGGAAGTCACATCTGAACCCTGTGTATGTTGTATGTGTCCACTACTTCCACCCAATTCTCCAAAAAAAAAAAAAAAAAAAAGACTGAATCCCTCTTAGAAATCTGGATGCTAACAGCTTCAGCATCTGGCCACCTGGACTCCAATCTTGGCTCACAGACCCTGCGCCAGAGTCTTCACTTCCCTGAGCCTCAGTTTCCTCATCTGCAAAATGGGATAATAATGGTGCCTGTCTCTAGCATGAGCATCAAATAAAATACCCCGTGCTAAGCTATATGCCTGGATATGGTGTGGCAGAAGCTGCAATGTGCTCACCACAAAGCATTTCCGATTCTCTTAGGAATATGGCTGAAAGCCATTTCCCAGACTCCCGTGCAGTCAGGTATGGCCACGTGGTCAAGTTCTGGTCCATAGAATTAAGACAGAAAGAAAGCGTGCTACTTTAGGCTTGGCCCATAAAATTATTTCTCTCCTTCCTGCTCCATCAGCTAGAAGGAAATAACTCCAAGGTCCTAGGGGATGCTGGAACCACAAGACAGAAAGGATCTGGGTCCCTGGGTCACCACATAGAAAGCCACCGGCCAAACACCCAGCAGGACTTTGCATGAATGAGAAATAAACTTCCATTGTGCTAAGCCTCTGAGGATTCAGGGTTTCACTATCACATTAGCTAGTGTTACCTTAATTACTACCAGCAGTTAAATAGCCAGTAAGTGTTGGTTATTATTACTGTTATCATTACTATCATGAGTATTATTGGCTCTTTCTAGTACCGAAGCTAGAACCCTGTGCCTTGTTCTAGATGCTGAGCCATTATTTGGTGACCAAATACAGAAGAGACACCCTTTATACCCTTCCCTCCCCACTACCACCCTCCAAACCTGCCTTTTGCCAGGGTTAGCGGCAGGAACTAGCCAAAAAGCTCCTCAGAGATTACTCATTTCAAACACAGCAGCACCTCTTATCCGCTTACCCCTTCTTTATCCTCCTGCTGCTGACTGGAAATTATGACAAAAATATTGAACCAACCACGAGCCATTCCCTGTGCCCAAAACATTACATCTGTCCCTTACCTGCTTTAACATTCCCGGCACCACTCTACTCACTTTACAGATGACAGCATG